CACCAATCATTTCTAGAAGTGTGTCCACATACAGCTGTCCATACATGCGGAACAATGGCAAGGAAGACTCGTAGAAACTGACCGGTTTACCATCTGGTGGCAGGAAGTTGTGGTACTGTGAGGTCAGCAAAGCGTTTACATTCTCTAAACAAGGGGCCATGTCTTCTGCATCATTCTTGTATGTTTTCTGACAGTACATCGCATAGCTGAGAATGCCTCCATTTCTCGTTCCAAATGCGTTCTTGATGTCCTCCAATTTCGCTTCTAAAATTTCCTGATCCATGTATTCTTTGAGCTTATCGATTTCGGCCTTCAAGCTGTTGTAAACGTCTTCTGGATCCAGGCCTCCTCCAGGTCCATATACATCGGCTATTTCATCAAACAGCGCACTCAGGATGGACCCTACTACTGGAATATCTCCTAGAGTATTTGAAATCATGGTTTTTGCGAAACCAATGCCTATCTTAGCTGCATTGGATGTCTTCTCAGCAAGTTTGGTTGGCTTCATCACTATTACATCTTTTATGGGGCCAGCATATTGCAGATTGTGGCAATAGAACTTATCCTCAGCTAAAATGACTGGGGTCACTCCACACACAGTGAAGATGAGGATCCACATAATGACTTGACGAGCCATGGCTAGTTCTGCTGGAATTTTAAAGAAAGTTTTTGAGTGAGTATCATACTCGTAACTTGGAAAGTGGAAAAATTCGAGATCACAAATGCACTGAAGGATGAATAAGGTCAACTAAATCGATGATCACGGTGGTTTACAGCGATAAAGACGAAAAATTTAAATTCGGCTCCGTTCCTAGCGCCAGTGTAAAAGCGGTAAACGAACGAACGAACGAACGAACGAGCGAACGAACGAACGAACGAACGAACGAACGAACGAGCGAACGAGCACTGAGGCCAGTGAGAGAGTGACTGACAGGAGGTGAAATTTTTAACTCAACCTTGGTGATCCCCAACCCACAAGAAATGAATAAATTGAATGATTAAACTGACTTATAATAGCGCTTTATGCTATTACTAAAAATAGATTTTGTTACGTGACAACCTATGAGACCCCCCGCACAGACTCAGACAAACATTGCGACCAGCTTAAGGAAATATATGAGCGAGAGCTGTAAAATTAAAAACAAAACTACAGAAAATTTCGTCAAAAAATGACTTAGCATTCTAAAAGGAAGCAGCATGGTTGGTGCCAAACACTGTTGTTGGGGTGAATGTAAGACAGACTCAAGATATGCAGATAAATGGTCAAAATCACTCAAAGAGTGAAAGGAATCGGTTCTTACGCGAACAGCCTCTCAAGGCTTATGGAAGCAGGTCATTTAGCTGTGTCGCGCCTTACCCGTGGAACAAGCTCCCAGATACGATATGACAGGCATCATCACTTGCGACATTGAAGTCAAAGCTTAAGACCTATCTTTTTAGTCAAACTTTCGATTTAAAGGGACTATTAATTACTTTGTTAGTATTATTTCCTGGTTAATTTAGTTGATTATTTATAATCATTTTAATTGTACATATTGTAAAGCGCTCCGAACTCTAGGGTGAGCGCTATAGAAATCCTATATTATTATTATTATTATTATTATTATTATTATTATTATTATTATCATTATGGTGTTTATATGTACAGTCTTTGGCACAGTGCAAGTGTATAACTAAGCGTTTTACTGTCTATGACGAAATTCTCTTGATTGTATAAAGGCCATGTGAAACCAACTACGATCACATTCTTTTCTTCCCCTCCCTCGATAAATGGGTTCCGGCATTGTATATTTTAGTTCATGCAATATGAGTCACAAGCTTTCTATCATAACTCAGTGCTGCAATCTGACTACCAAAGCTACTTGTTAGCGAAGGAACGAGTAATGATGGGATTCGAAACGGCCTCAGGAGTCTGAAGAAAGCATGTTTCTCACTAAAAATGGAACACCGATTGTTACATATATACTTTGTATCGGTTGGTGAGGACGTTTGTTGATATCCCTTATTCTACGTCTTAGATTCTATGCGTTATTTCCCCGAAAAACTTCCTCCGTAACAATGCCAATTGCGCCCGAAATAACACAAACTACCTACCTTTAGTTTGTGCTTAACTGAGTGTAAAGCTAAGGTATAAGCGAATAATTGAAACTATAGGCATATAAGAGCTAATCAGCGACCTTTTCCTCTGATCCTTAGTATATTTTAAATGATTAATGGTAGTAACCCCCCTTTCGTTGAACTCTTAAGCTAGTTTAAGTGACTAGATATGCTCTTTCTTGTTTATTTACATGAATATATGACAATTTGTGATTCTAATTGCACCATGCTGTACACTGTAAATAAAGTTGTTCATGTTTTTTTTCGCAGTTGTAGCGAGGTTAACGATGAAAAACTCACGGTTATCATAATTTTTCGATACTTGGTTAAACAAAATAAATTCGCGAAAGATTTGATGTAGCTTATAAAAGGCACCGCTGGGAATAAACTGACCTGTTTCCATTCTGTTAATATTTCGAAACCATTATTCATTGACAAACAAAGATTAGCTATTTTTAGCCACCATGCTCAATTTACCCAAACCTGTTTTGAGTGAAAAGCATCAAGAAGGGAGGGAGGGAGGGGAGGGGAGGGCGAAGAATTGGGGAGATTTACATGGTTTTCAGGGCGAACGGGATGAGGAAACAATGCCTTAATTCGTTTAGTTGTTATTGTTCTTTGTTGTGTATGACCCGAAATGACTTCGCTCAATTTCCCAGAATTTACTTTATACTCCAAGGTATCACGTAGCCTACTTAGTTAAATATAGCGATCCTGCATGCGCTCGCGTCGGTTGATGCTATAGTTAAGCCTGGAGTTTAAGCAGAGTGATTCTTAGAATAAAAGAGCTGATTAACTAGGAAACGTGTTGGTGCGTTTTCGACAGAGGATCATTGATAGCCAACAGAGTTTCAATTGACTGTCAATTAACTGCGAGTGGTGGGGGGGGAGGGGCTTACAACAATATTACAGAGCCTTCATGGGGGGTCGGGAGAATTATGAATTGTTAACAATGAAAAAATAACTATTTACGCCAAACAGCCTAATATGAAATGTTCACGCCCACTGTTTTCCTGAAACCGCAGCCAACTGAGATAGACCTCGTTTGAATAAGCAACCTTTCATTCTTAAATTTTTCTGATAGTATACAACGATCGCCACAATCAAATGCCTTGTAATTATCAGTATAATAAAATATTTCAAGAGTGAACAAATGTTTCTCTGTTGCCCGAGTTATCATGGTTCAGAAAGTTTTCACAGATGACTACCAGCGTGTAATTTATTCGCATTTTCCTAACTGGGAGAGAGTTGCGTGCTTCGCAACAATTAATGGGTGTTTCAGTCGCAAATGCAATTTGCATCTCTTGGACTCGTTAAGAACACGACTTGCACTGAAGAGTAAAAAGACACGATTTACTGAATTTGGATAACGTTCAGCAATTATGTTACGTCCTAAAGCTGAGCGGGATTTAACCCCAGTAGGGGTGTCGAATGGTCTTTGCGAGCATTTGCGAGCATGCGAGCAGTGTGTTTATTTTTGCGAGCACGAACAGTTGTCAAATTTTTCTTGCGAGCAATGACTTAAAGATTAAAAAAACGTAGTTCCGTGGTCTTCAGTCAATAGACTCAGCACCCCAGCTCACAATTTTTTTCAATGAATTTAGCAACTTTGATCTTATCAAGGATCTTGTTAGATTCTTGGCTGGTAGTTTTTCCACTATCAGGCCTGTCACTTTAGAAAACCGCGAAATTGCAGAAAGTTTTCCCTATTTTTGTGAAGACAAAGGGGAAATTTAGCAAAGCTCATCCAGGACTGTGGTTGTTGCCGCAAAATCTTGTTCCATAATTACTGATTGGCTGAAGATTACTGAACCGAATAGATAAGATACACAAACAGGGTTCCACGGGAATCAAGCTCGTGCCTTCCAGATACAAGTTAGGCGCCCGC